TCATTCAAACTCTTGCGAACCTGACCCAAGAGAGTGTCGTCTCGTTGCCGTTGAGCCAGCAGGGCTGGCTTGGTGAGCACCTGTGCAGTCGAGTCGATGACTGCCGTTCCACTCCAGCCTGGTCCTGAGGACGACCTCGGAACCTCCCCCCGTGCAGCAAGCACTTCGCCGATGTCGTCATGGCCCGGTTGGACGGGTAACGGTGGAAGCGTCGGGAGCGGGGGCACCGGGTCTGCCGACTCGACTGGCGTAGGGCCGGCCGCCATCCTGCTCGGTAGACGCCCCGTCTCCCCGACCGGTGGCAACTGTACGTCGCCGATGGGCCGCAGACGTACGGACGGCGTGCGGGATCGGCCGCTTCTACGGGGGCCGCCTGACTCAGCATCCAACGCCGCGCACGTCGCAAAAGGCAACACTCGGAGGGCGGAAAGGTTAGCGTCAACAGCCTCCAGGGCGGAATGTGAGGCACGATCATGGACAACCGCGTCCTCTGCTGGTTCTGCCTGTACGGGGTCTAGTTCAGCCAACCTTACACCATCCAGCTCTGGGCCAAGAGGCTCTACTGCAGCGCCGGCAACCGCCGACGACATGTCATCCGGGAAAGAGTCGTCGACGTCCACCACGGCTGGACCAGCGATAGGTAGCCGAGAGAGAGCGTCAGGCACCACGTGCTCCACTCCCGCTTTCCACTCCAACACCATGTCGTATTCCATGAGCCGAAGCGCCCACCTGTGCAACTTGGGGCAGAGCTCTCTATTTCGGAAAAGCCACGTCAGTGCGGAACAATCGGTCACCAGCTTGAACTGCCTACCCGCGAGGTACGGCCGAAAGTGTTCAACCGCCCACAACACGCCCATGCACTCCCTCTCGGTAGGGCCCCTTCTGGCGTCCGTCTGCGAAAACCTGTGACTCGCAAATGCTACTGCTCTTGTCGCGCCGTCGATCGTCTGCATGAGTGAAGCTCCTACGCCTAGCGTGCTAGCATCGGTGTGCAGCTCAAAGGGCCGCTCGAGGTCGGGGAAGGCGAGCACGGTTGGGGAAGCCAAAGTGGCTCGCAACGACCGAAAAGCATCTTCTTCTGCAGCGGTCCAAGGGATAGCAAGCTTGCGAGCACGTTTCGAGGCGAAGGCTTTGTTGCGCAAGATGTTGGTGAGTGGTGCCGCCGTCAGACTGTAGTTGGGTACAAACTGCCGAAGGTAGCCGGTCAAACCCAAAAAAGTGCGCAACCCCTCTACCGTACACAGGCGAGGCATGTGGGCAATCGCGTCGAGCTTGGACGGGGCAGGGTACAGACCCGTCCCGTCAATGATCATGCCAAGAAACTCCTGAGACGCAGCGCCAAAGATGCATTTCGCGAAGTTTACTGACAATCCCGCAGCTAAGAGGCGTGTCAGAACGAGCGTAAGGGTGGCCAGGTGTTCTTCCCACGTATCACTAGCGATGAGGATGTCGTCAAGCCAGCTAAACACACCAGGCAGTTGCCCCAAGGCCGACTTTACTCTACGCGTGAAAGCCGCCGGCAGCACCGTCAATCCGAAACCCGCGCGAGTGAACTCCCAAAGCATACCATCAGCGTCTCGAAAGGCCGTTTTGTAACGGTCCTTCTCGGCAATTTCCATCTGGTGAAAACCTGAGGCGAGATCTAGCTGCGTGAAATACTTTTTGCCTTTCAAACCGTCGAATATCGTTTGCATGTCGCCTAGACCTCCGCTATCTGAAACCAAGAGTTTGTTGAGCTCACGCCAGTCGATGCACAGCCGTAGGGTACCGTCTTTCTTCTCCACGCACAAGCATTGGGCTGCCCACGGGGACATGAATTGCCGTATCATCCCCCGGTCAACTAACTGTTGTATCTCGGCTCGAATCATACGACGTTCTTCAGGAGAAAAACGTCGTTGCTTGGCTGCGAACGGAGTGCAAAACTCGTTGATCAGAGGAAGCTCTAGCTCACCGTCCATGCAAGCAGGCACACGCTTCGGATCGATGGGAAAAAGGCCATCTTCGATGAAAGCAGCAAGCACGTTGACCAGCTGCTGCTTCTTGAGTGACCCTAGCGTCCCCAGGTTGGCATCCTCTACACGAACTCGCGGGCTGGGATCGACGGCCGGGCTTGGATCGGGGGGCGGTTTGGCCTCTCGCGGCGGCAACGGCGGATCGGCGGCGGCAGGGGTGGCATCGAAAAGGGAGTCAAAACCCGGGCGGTCCCGAACGTTGAGAGCTATCATGCACCTGTGATTTCAGGAAACGCAACCTTGCCAAGGGCGCTCTACCGGGAGCGCGCGGCTATATCACGGATGGACACCATGTAGCAAGTGGAGAGACTGTAATCTGAGAGGGATCCTGTGACTTGAGAAGGTCTTGTAGGAGAAGACTCGAGCTTCTTGTTCAAGGCTCGCAGGGGCCACATATGCACATGTCTGGTTTCTGAGAGGATCCCACGCATGACTAAATGGTGACTAAACAGCTACCGACCTGTTGGTAGCAGTCTCTCGCTCTTGCACCGAGTTCGAAGGAGCGCTTGAACAGCGGTAGAGAAAGCCTAGAAGGAGGCTTGTGGAACGTGGAGAAGGTCTCCGGTCGTGGATACGGTATTCGCTTTGATTATTGCTAAGCACAAGTGCCAACAAAGGAAGTGAGAAGCGTGTGCGCGGGCGACACGCTCTACAAGGAGCTCTGCGGAATGTACAGAACTATACAGCACCCTATGGGCATAATGCAAACCTCCCAAAGGTGCAACTCCTTGAAACCGTAACGAAATTAACCGTGACAGTCCCCCTTCTCCGCTGACGACTCTTCGTGCTGTTGCGAAGTCTCATGCTGCCCGGCGGTGCGCTCGTCCACTCCTGAACCGTCGCCGAAGTTGTATCCACAGCGGCGAACGAACTCCGAGCCATCTGCTCGCTCTCGGCAAACGCGGTTTAGCCAAGCCGTCTTGTCGAAGGGAGTCGTTGACAGGTATCCCCTCCCAAAGGAGACTATGCTCATTGTGACCACTCCTCCCAGGATCTCTCTCTCCTCTTCTACGGACGGTACCGTTGCTGTGCGGTGCACGCAAGCTCAGCTCGCCCACAGGGGCTACGTGGGTTGCCACTACCCCCGTGCATGAAATGTGCCCCCTTTATATATAGGATTTAGTATGGGCGTGTTTATATAGGATATTGTATGGCGTCGGGGAGGGGGGGGATGGGCCTTCGTACTCCCCCCCCCCCCCGGAGAGGTCTCAAAAAAAGTTTTGTCGGGTAGGTGTTGGAAAAAAAAAATATTGTGCGCCCTTGCACGACACCACGATTTATTTGTTTGTGTGCGCTGCCGCCCTCAGCGGTCTGTGGTGTTGAAGCCCTGGGGACTATGCTATCCCAGGAACAGCAGATGAAGAAAAGAACCATGTATTTTCTATCCGATACGCAAGCCCCTCAGGCAAGCTGGTATCAAACACGCAAGCCCCTCAGGCAAGTAAGTGCCGGGAGGACACCGCCGTGTGCTCACCCGGAGGCCCCGCACTTGGACGTCAACCGCATACTATACATACCCATCACACCCATACTTCCCATACGCGTATCCCCCACAGAGGATTCACAGATCGGACTCATATCCAAGTACCACAAACATATTTTCTCAACACAGGTACCAAGAGCGTACCGCGTACTTGGGTTAAAGGTTCGCCAACCAACAGTATGAGCGGTGATTGGAGCTAGCCGAAAGCGCTGACGCCTGCAGCGTTACGTGACATGAATGAATGCGCTCTCCTCAACCTCTTACGTCATATTATTGGGATGAGGAGCGTCCATCACTGACGGTATTTCGTTTTTGCTACGGTCTAAGATAATATTCTCTTATATCGACATTCGTTTTAAGAGAATATTCTCTTAAACCGTAACAGAGACGGTACAAGAGAAAGCCGGACTTAAGAGAGGGAAACTGGCTTGTCCCGACCCTCTCTTAAACCGTAGCCGCTGCTGTAACTCTCTTTTGGTCGTACCCACTAGCAAAAGGTATGCATGCAGCAGCCTATTTTTTTGTGTGAGGGGGCAGGACGGTTGGCGCACTCTGTGGCCACCGAGGTCATGTGCTCAGAGTTGTGTCACCTCCGTTGAGCTCCTTTGATCACACACCCTATATATATATCAAGCCCTCGTTTATCACACCCGACCCCCAAATACACCCTGTGCGTGTTCGGACGTGCTATCACACCACCCTCAGGGACCCCTGGGAGCTGCACTCGGGCTACATAAGATACCACCCCCCCCCCGCCCCCCACAGGATACCACACCCGGTGATAAATTTTTTATAGCCCAAAATGTTATCACCGGGGTGTGTTATCCTTGTGTCGTCTACGGTACATACTCCCCCAGCGGAACGTAAGATTTGGATGGGGGAGTGTAACGTATTTAGATGTCGAGCTGCCTCTTGATGTCTGCATAAGTACAATGTATAGTAGCCTTTGCTCAATGTAACAATCGAGGTTTGAGGGGCACCACCTGGACACTCACTTCTTCGCTTTTGCAGCCTACAGTCATTTTTGAGCCATACATCGCCAGCTATTTTGTAGCCACAGCACTCTTGCATGACGCTCGCGTATGTACAACAAGTAAACCACCTTGCAACCATCGAAGAGCAAAGGTACACATCACAGGTGACGGTCGACACGGAGCGTGAAAGTCGCATGTGTTGCAGGAACATAGGCCACAGCAAACAGAAGAGGGCAATGCGTATGCGTACGTACACTATTTATGATACCACGAACACGAAACTGGTCCTGCTGTCTCACCTCTTTTGGCCGTTGGCTTTTTTCCCGACAAATTCAAACTTCTTCCGGGATGTTTCGGGCTTGGAACTTCGGAAGGAGGAACGCCAACAATCGTGCGGCAGGTTTTTCTTTGGTGAGTTGGGTGGTGTTGAGTAAACACCAGGTTGATTTGTGCAGGGGGCGTCTCGCTCGCGGGTGCGTGTGAGTGATGAGCCTCTTGTCTTGTTGAAGCAGGGCAGGATGACGATGAGCTTTAGCCGCCGAAACCGTAGAGGGTGCGGCCCTGGCGCTTGAGGGCATACACCACGTCCATGGCCGTCACGGTCTTCCGGCGGGCGTGCTCGGTGTAGGTGACCGAGTCACGGATGACGTTCTCGAGGAACACCTTGAGCACGCCGCGGGTCTCCTCGTAGATGAGTCCCGAGATACGCTTCACACCGCCACGGCGAGCCAGACGGCGAATGGCGGGCTTGGTGATGCCCTGGATGTTGTCGCGGAGTACCTTGCGGTGACGCTTGGCACCGCCCTTGCCCAGACCCTTACCGCCCTTTCCGCGTCCGGACATGTTTGCTTGATAAGAAGGAAGACAGAGGGTTAGTTGATGTGTGTTGTGGTGTGGCTGGAGCGGGAAGAGCGAGGCAACGAGGCAACTCTGTAAGATAGTCCTGCGACGTCCGGGTGATCTCGAGCACGAGCGGGAACAAAATGGGCCACGCTGATTGGCCGTGTTTTCTTAAATGCAATTTTGTACTGTGTTTTCTCGCCGCACAATCGCACAATGCGCTTGTTGTGATGTTGTGATACACTGATACGGGTTTGTTCTTGGATGGTTGTAGCTCGCCTCGGAGGCCAATCGATCACCCCATTTCTCTCCCTATACGCCCCGTCGCCCTCTCAAGTACCAAGGCCCGCACGCGGCAGGCACGATTGATTATGTTCAGTGATTTTGTAGCTCGCTCAAAGAAAGGCGGACGCGGAGCGACTGCAATCAATCACAGAGAGAGTAGAGCAGTGGCACCGAATGCACTGCACGCCCGTGCATATGCGACCGACATATGCAAGGCAGCAGAAATGTGGTCGGTCGCCATAATATATGGAGGGTGAAAAATTGCGTGCATGACACACACGGAATTCTGACTCGATGATAGTATGTATGTAGTCTTCAAATTTGAAAAACTGCTTTGTCCGTATAACAATCAATGTAGGCACTGCTGTTGCTTACTACTGTAATTACTAAGTAAGAGGAGAAGTGCGCATCGGTGAGAGATGAGATTTTACACCCTGGACCAATTTCAAAGCTCGATTCTTCTAACAGAAGAATGAGTGGCGGTGCCGACGGATGTTTGACGGCGTTTGAACCGCCCCCGTGATAGCGTTGTTCCGAAAACATATCGTTGGGTTACTGCTACAATACATACACTTACATACATACACATGCTGCATTCATTCAATTCATTACATACATACACATGACATGCTGATCGAGCTCTGAAAATCGGCCCAGGGGGCGGGGGGGGGGTACTCTTATGTTTTGCTTGCCTTAGCGGTTAGACCATTGACCACGCGTCCTCGAGAGGACGGAGCATTGTTCCCACAGGACCGATCACCGATGGCCAATCGTTCCTTCCTACTTTGCCAAAGGTGGCTCAAAAATGTCTTCCCTAGTTTGTCTATCCTACCGATGTCCCTTCCCGCCTTTTCAAACCACTTTCTACTCCCCAGTACAGCTACCGTCCTCTCCTCTCTATTCCATGCCTCAAACATCTCCCTGTACGTCACTTGTATTCTTCCCAGCTCAGTCATGTACACTTCCCTCTCCTTTTCGTACCACGGACATTCCGCGACTACATGAACACTGTCTTCGCATTCGAAGCCGCAATCGCATTTGAACTTATCGTCTTCGTCGTCTACCGTCCTATGTCTTCGTCGACGTTCGCGAAGGCCTATGTCCCCGGTCCTGAATTTGACCTTAAGCTTTGTCTCTGCATCCATTGGTCCATGTAGGTAATACTTGAACCCTATTCCTTCTTTCAACATTCCGTACACTTCTAGACCCTCCTTATCCTTGGGGGGGGGGGGGGGGGGGGGAAAAAACCAAAAAGGGGAAGGGGGGAAAGTCCCTTTGGGCCGGGGGGGAAAAACCCCCGGGGGGGGGCGGGGGAAAATTTAAAAACCCAAATTTTTTTTCCGGCCTGGGGCCCCGGAAAAAAAATCGGGTTGGCCCACCCCCGCACCGGCCTCCCGGGGGAACCGAGGAAGCGGCCCCCCTTCCAGGGCCCCCCCGGGGGGCCCCCCCCCCAAACCCAAAAGGGGGAAAAAAAAAATGGTGGAAAAGGGGCGAAAACCCCCGGAACCCCCCCTTTTTCCAAGTTTTTCAGGGAAAAAACCCCCCCTTGGGCCCCAAAATGCCCCGAGGGGGGAATTTTAACCAGATAAATCCCAGAAAAAAATTCCTCCGGGGCCCCTTTCCGGACCCCCCCCAAAAACCCCCCCAAGGGGGGGGGCCAGGGCCGGAACCCCGTCTTCCCCCTTCCCCCCCCA